AGCACCGCTCGGGTTCAGATCAGGGAGGCCGTTCCTCCCAATCACGCCCCTCCAGGTCTCGCTGTTGTTACCCACGTGAGCATTGAAGTCTCCCAGCAGGAGTCTCCAGGTGGAGCACCTTCCAGCACCTGACTAGATTCTTAGATAAATATAAATTACTCTCTGACAGTTAGTATGGATTCAGATCAAAAAGGTCAACATCACTGGCATTAATCGAGGATATTACAAATGCTATAGATCAGAAATGGTATGCAGCTGGACTATTTCTGGATCTCAAGAAAGCATTCGACACAATCAATCATGACATATTAATTAATAAACTGGAATGGTAGGGGATCAGGGGGGTTGTACTGCACTGGGTCGGTGAAAAATTATTTAAGTGACAGGAAACAATTTGTGAAGCTGGGTGTCTATTCCTCATCATGCTTGGCCATTGCTTGTGGTGCTTCGCAAGGCTCTGTACTGGGTCCAAAGTTATTTATTATTTATATAAATAATATTTGTATGGCATCTGATATATTAAAATTAGTATTATTTGCAGACGACACAAATATTTTTTGTTCTGGGGGGAATCTAAAGGAGCTGCTGGATACAATTACATCACAAATGTGCAAAATTAAATGCCAAAACTAAATAATAATAAAATAGTCTTATTTAGGAATTCCCTAAGAAATGCACAAGTGCAGATTCATAAAGATGGTGTGGAAATTGAAAGATTTCTTGAGCACAAGTTTCTTGGTGTGATAATAGGCAGTGTTGGTCAAGTTACTTGAAAAAAGTAATCAGTAACTAATTACTGATTACTTATTTTCAAAATTAATTAATTACTTAGTTACTTAGTTACTTTATAAAAACACGATTTACAACCTGAATAGGTAATAAAGCGATAGATCTGTCAACCCAATTCTACTTTTTCTACATAATCCATCATACAAAATGTAATCAAATGGAAAAGTCTCTTTTTTAAACTTGTTTTATTCGTTTTAATCTTTTAACTTTATGCATCAACCAAAAATGTAATTATATGCAACATTCTCTGACTGGAAGAAATTAGTTTAACATTTAAACCTACTTTCTGCACATTCCAGCACATAATTTTTTTTTTTTTTGTGTTTACACTCAGTCTTTCAAATAGATGCAAGTAAAACACAGCAGAAAATAAATAAA